GGTAGTTTGAAGTCAGAAGTCAACTGCCGAATAGTAGACTTTTTTTGCCGTATGAGAATACGTTTGTCAAGGATGCACCACGTGGAGGTAAGTCTATCGCACACCCCGGTATTGTATTGTTATTTACGTGATAATTTATAGCGCCTTTTTCATCCCTTGATAATTGACCTCTATGTGATGGTGTGACTAACATCATTATCTGCAATACTAGAACATATTCTACCTGTGATTTTTTGTAATTCTGCTTTGTTTTCCTTTTAGTATATTAATAACGTAATTAGCGACGCTCCCTTGGTCATCACCAATGAACTGCTCGACTTTTTCGCGGTAAGAGCATTTTCAGTGTGTATTGATAAACGCCCTATTATGGAGTTGCTTTTCACCAATTCCTGCTTCAATGTTGCGGCGTTTTTTTCTGGCTTGTCTCAATTCACAACAAAAACTGCGTTGACATCGTGATTGAGTTTTGTCTAAGCATACTCCTGTGTGCACTTTTCTACTTCTTGTTAGGGTCTGGTGACTGGGAGAAGAGTTTCAGTGTAGAAAAAGAATCAGATGTTTCACTAAAGCTGGTTTTTTGGGTGGTTTAAAAGATTATGATTTTTTGTTTATTTATATGTTATCTCTTGCAGTTTTTTTCTATTTTAATTGAACCTTCTACTGCTAGAGTTTTTAGAATGTGGTTTCGGGGACTCAGTCTACCCTACTCTTTACTTGGAATGAACAGACTTTTGTAGAACTCAAGTACAGAGATGAGTGTCACCGAATGGTTAAAAACGATTGTCTCATCATTATCTTCAGTGCATTCGATGTTGGCAACTAGTATCCTGAATGGTGGCCTTAATCACCATTACTGTCTAGCCTACTTCGGGGAATTAGTTGGAGATGAAATGATCACCATGGTCGCAGTTTAGCTGGACCATGCTTTGTTTCTTTTTATCAATCGACCAAATGAAGCGACCTTGCACTTTATGGGTTATGTTAATGATTTATTTTGTCTAATGTATTATTTATTGCAAATTTCGTTCAATGTCCTTCCATTTGTTTTGAATTCGTTTTGATTCACGGTTCTTTCCTTGCTTAGTTCGCTTGATAAACAGAATTGGTTATTCAATTTACAAGTTGGGCAAGTTGATGTTTTCGCTTTAATGTTGTGGAAGAGATTCGAGTTGGAAAGTTCAGATTTACTGTATTATGGCCTCTTTGTGTTTTGATAGTTTTCAGGACATCAAGGTCAATTGAAGCACTAAATTCAAATTTTTTTTTCAAAGATGGATTTTTAGATTTATGCCTAGTTTCGATAATTACACACATCTAACTCACCATTCCTAACTCATTTAATAATTGAAGCAGCAATTCAAGTTACTAAGCTACTGTGTAGGTAATTATTTGCAGTTATTTTGATCTTATTTTTGTTCATATATTCCTAAGTATCAATTTCCAATGTGTTTGACAATCACTGGTACAAAAATCTGTTTAAAATGAATGGCACCTTTTCAACGAAATATTAGCTAAACGTATTTCTATCTCTTTGTTGGTAAATCGAAATTCCTCAGTGGGCTTAGTTAAATTTAATGAAATTATATTACAATTATCTGGAAATACTCTCTGATATCCGACTTAATAAATAGTTTGTTGTCAATTTGATTACCTATCTCCCCTTCTTTCATAAAATTTGCAGGTTGACGTTGTGGCAGTTGGATTGCACTCAGATGATAATCCGGGAACCAAGCATGACCCATTTGCAGTAAGTTTTACCATCTTAGTATATTGAGCTTTGAGAAGAGTAAGTTGATTGCTTCGTTTTTTTATGCCTTTAATTACTTAAATGATTCCATTTTTTCCCCTTTTAGATTCCTCGTGAAAGGGGAATTTTCAGGAAAGTTGATAGCGGATCAGATGTTACAACCCGCCAAGTTATCAAACGAATAATCAGCAATAGGTAAGCATGTTTAATTTTGTATTGGCTAGCAACTCACCTTGTGATTCAACCTTTCGACCAATCATCTCCTTGCTAAGTCGTGCTACTGATGTAAAATTGTGAACTTGTGATATTTGAACCTTTTTCTTGTTTTGTTATAGTGCCTACGCAAGTCGCAATAGGCTAAAGGAGACAAGAGAAGCGGAAGCAATTTCTAGAAGTTCAGCAAATAATTCCGTACCAGACCATTAATTGCTCTCTTTTTATTACAAATCTCTCTTTTACAAATTCCCATTCCTTTATTTAGAATTTGTCTTTCAGTGAATGTAGCCAATTCCTTGTATTTCTAACTTGAACTAGTCTTATGTCAACAAACTCTCTTCTGCCTTCTTTTAGCTAATTTTTTAAGTCTTACTAACATTGCCTTGACGTCGCCCATTTGCGCATATATCCAGTGCACGGAATGGTCAATCTCCCTGGTTGACAGCGGAATTCCTTTTGCTCTTTCCAGGTGGCTCTTCCTCTCCAAAAGATGGGTGTTCGAGATTCTTTCCTAAATACACTTATAATTCTTAATGCCTGTTTTGGAGAAATTGGATGGGGGTAGGGAAACCCATTAAATGTTCCATTTTGTGTTACTGCCTGTTGTTTCAAGTAATTTGCATATGAAAATTTATTCAAACCTCAGGTTCATTTGGTCGAGCATTTTTTTTGCCAGTTAGTAATATGAAGCTGTATTATATTTGGTTTAACGAGACAAAGACATTTTATACTCTGGGCTGTTAATTGAGACCATACTGTGGTTTCACCAGCCATTGCACCACAAAGCTTTAATCTTTAGGCCTTGTTCCTGTCACCGTCACATCCCGTCAGAACAACTATTGAAAAAGATCAGTATAAACCAATCAATATTTCTATCGACTTTCCTATTTGCCCTTTATTATTCCCTTGTCAAAGAGATATATGCTTTTATTTAGCCGCAACTACAAAATTTGGACCCTTAGACACGATGCCTCAAGCGCACGGGAGCTCCATTAATCAACTGGGCTTCCATGAGAGTGGAATGGTGGGGTTCTACGGATCATTACGTCAGGTCGTATAATGATTCATAAACATGTCGTCAATCTATTCCTATGCTCCTCCCCTCAATCAAATCTAAAATTTCGAGAAATACAATTGTGAGGTGTCGGAACGCGGAAGAGAAGTTAAAATGAGGTTTAGTGGGAAAGGTAGATCAGTGTAATCTTTGCAGTTAATGACTCAAATGTTTAAACTTTGGATTGAGGCATTTTGCCGTCATTATTCAACGTTCACCAAAAGTACTTCTGCTCAGTTCACTTCTATATGCTCTATTGTTCCAACGCACAAAAATTGTGCTTTTTTGGCAAAGATTCGAGAGCGAACTTCTACTCAAAATGGTCAGAAATGTATGGATAATTGCCGCATTTCAGTTCATTTTCTAACCCAACAACGATGACCTCAAGATAGCACAGTTCACTTAAAGCAACGAATTCTTCTGTTTGATCCTGACACTGATAATGACGCGCCCTGGCAACATCGCTGCCATTTTTCGAACACTCATACCTTCTTAAGCATATCATTCAGGGATAGGTCCTAAATTTCTTGAAAGTGGGCTCAAGTGACAGTCATTTTTTGGTCATCCAGAGATATACACGAAAGAGTCTTAACTCTTTTCAGGGATTTTATGGAATATAGAGTTGTGGTGGATCCCCAGGTCTTTCCAGATTCCAGAACTAAAAGGGGTAATATGATTTAAAAATCATTCCTATTTTCACTATTTTTGGCTCGAAAGGTGCGGCTTTGTACCACGAATAGGCATGCTTGTGGTACTACACCCGTTATTGAATGTACCAAAAATAAAGGATAGAGAGCTGAACGACATTTCTAGATGATATCGCTTTTGATATGATATAGACAACAAATTCCTAGCGGAGGTCGTTGATAACGATACCTGTTGTGGGAGACCTAATGGATATAATCACAAGGCACTTTGAACTCCAACCTATTTGGATATGAGGAGGCATTCTTCATCTAAATGAAACCAGGAAGATTCAGTTGGAGAGCATATAGAGGGATCCTGGTTTAGTAAGGTTCCATTTGGAACCATGGCCAAGTCGAGTTTCTTGAGTTCTAAACATTTACCAGTCACCAGTACCGATCAACGAGAACCGAAAAGATGAGCCATTCCTCTAGCTTCATCGTGGTTGGACTGAACAAGACATTTTAAAAACTTGATTTCGGTGGACGATTCGAAAGTTCGGGTACAAATCTGGAAGCAGCTCACTTCTTTGTATCTCACCTTCGGCACAGTATATACCAATTTACCTTTGACAAATGGCTTAGTTGTCTCTCACATATTGCGTGGATTGAGACATGGATGCAAGTAATTATTGACTTGAGTAGTGTCAGAAACAATGGAAACTTTATCATAGGTGGTGCAGGAAGTATTTATACATTCTCGGACTGAGTTAATCACTTTGTTATAATACTTAGTCACTTTATCGGGGGCGTAAAATGATAGAAAGAGAATAAATTTTAACAGAGCTATGAAAAACAGAGGCAGTAGATACCCCCACGAGAATGGCTAGCTTCAATTTTCCAGAAAGATCCCTCACCTCTTCGGTCAAGGTCTCAAACATTTTGTAAGGCCATGTGGAGTAACCGAGGTTTCCACTGTAGCATCACCCGAGAGTGAAAAATGTGTAGTTACCACTCATAATAGCCTTATTAACATTACAAATAACCACAATTCTCTTAAACTTAAAAGAGCTTGTAAATAATTAAAAAGAAAATTTGGTGCATCAAACTTTATTTGATAGACAAGCATTAAATCTTCTCAAATATGGATGAAAGTACAATATCTCACTGATTCTGCAAATTTATTGGTCTATTCGCGTAGCTTTTGTTTTAACAATCAGCCGGTTGAAAGTAGCCTAGACAGGTCACTCAAAATCTACTCAGCACTTGTTTCCACTCATTCCTGTCTTCGACGAACGCACCATCTTCTGACCTCAGATCCTTCACTCAATAAACTCTCCTCTTTCTCTTATTCCTAATGTATGATGAAGACCACAATTGGTGAAACGGTTGTTACCTATTGACGTCTCCTTGACAATTGAATTGAAAAAAAGAGACAAACATCCAAGTGGATGACCATACGTGTAAGTGGATTACGAGTCATTTAAGCAAAGCGTGGAGAATAGAATATGGATAGAGCACACAATTGCTATTAATTTTTTGAATTAAAAACACTTTTTTAGAAAGTGTAAAAATATGTTAAATACCATTTCATTGAGGTACCAAGGCAGTATTCATTATAGAGAGTTCTAGTGATTACATTTCTATTCAGACCATAATTATCTATCTAGCGAAGATTTATATGAAAACGGAATTTAATAAGATTTCGAAATATTTGTCGAAATTTCGAACCCTAGCTCCTTGTGGGACACGTCATCGCATGCCTGCACGCCAAGATTGGGAGGTGCGACCGTACAAACAGTGACCAATCATTAACCTCTGTTTGTTTAACCTAATCCTCCATCCTGATCATGATTTAGCTCCCTGCGTGTATACATTTACAATATTTATTTATTTATTTATATCAAATGGCAGGCATTTTGATGGTTATCATTAGCCCTTTAGTCGACTTCGGGCTTCACAGAGGGGAAGGAACATCAAAGTGAAAGAAAGTCGAGAGGGGGTGAGGAGGGAACAGAAGAGTGTTTCAAAGACGAAGGTAGAAAGGTAGAAAAGAGGTGAGGTGAGTACTGTGAAGTAGTCGAATATGGCATACATTGGGATCATGGAAGTTTGAAGTGAGAAGTCAACTGCCGGTTAATAGAATTTTTCGCTGTATGGGTATACTTTGCCCAGGGTGTACTACTTGGAGGTAAGTCTATCGCACACCCCATATTCACAATATACGAACTAAATAAACGTGCTCCGTGCTACACGTCTGTTTCCTTTCAAAACTGGGCTATAACTTAGCTGGTTCTGGGGGACTAGCTAGATGTTGGAGAATCTGCCATAGAGATTTCTGAGTCAGTCAGACTTTACTAGCGTAGCAATCCGCTACATCCTAGACCTCCTCAATCTCTTTCCACCGCTCTCCTTCCACTTTGCCCTCCACCTCTCTCCGATTGTGTCTTGCGAATTCGGGAAGGGCTTTTGCAACCTGGTAGCATTAATCGAATTAAAATCTACCTTAATTTCACTTGCTAATTACTCGCGAAATCTTACAGAGCCCAAAATAGGATGTACCTATTCAGATAATATTGCTTTCTTCTCAATGGTGTTAAATAATAAATAAAATCTCTTGGCAAAAAGAGCTATAAATGCCAGTATAGAGCTCAATAGCTTTCATGCGATTGTACAAGACGACGAGTTCCTAGCTGAATGTTTTTGGAGCAAAATCAATGATGATCTTGTGGGACACGTCATTGCATATCTGCACGCCAGGATTGGATGGTGCGGCCGTACAACTCTGTGTGCAGTGACCGTACAAACAATGACCAACCATTAACCTCTGTTTGTTTAATCTAATCCCCCATCCTGATCTTGAGTAGCTCCATGCGTGTACATTTTATCCGCAATATCCGTACTGAATAAACGTGCTCCGTGCGACACGTCTGTTCCCTTTATAGCTGGGCTATAGCTTAGCTGGTTCTGGGAGTCTAGCTAGATGTTGGAGAATCTGCCATAGAGACTTCTGAGTCGGTCAGGATTTACTAGCGTAGCAATCTGCTACAATCTCTCTGAGATCAATTACTAGCAATTTCCATCTTGGCACATGCGTTCAAATACCAACATTTTCTTTAAATTGAAAATAACCTCCAAAACCAGGGATGTGTGAAATATAAATAGAGAACTTTCCAAAATTACGTGCATTTATTTTAACCAAAATCTAAATGGAATAGTAGAATTTGCACCAATGGTCATAAATTTCTGTCAGAGAGGTGTCCAAGCTTATGACAGTATTTAGGTAGCCTTCTAAGTTTGTGAGATAGTCGCTAATATGAGTCCCACCGACATACAACGCATCAACGTATTCACGGAGGAAGTATTCCTTTTCTACTGCATGGTCGATATACTCGAGGAAGAAAGCCATCCAGCCTATCAGCACTATTTGCTCCTCTTTAGGTAGCCTCACAAATTGTGCAGGGTATTCTATGAAAGGATCATGGATTAAATATTCCGAAGGATCCTCATCTGGAAAATGGAGAACTGTTCTAAAATTCTCTACAAAGCACAATAACGAGGCCTTCATAAGGTCAATATTTGGCAAATCGGCAATTATGATTCCATCATCAAGTATCTTCATGGTTAGATCGAATGTATCTTAATAAAATTTAAATGAATATTTAATAAATGTTATGGGAAATTGAAACACAACGTTATGTACAATGCAAACGTACTAGCGAACGACTCGTTATGGAACCACAGGTGCATGGCCAGGGTGGGTCTTAAAGAAAGCTAAAATTTGGGGAAATGTGAAAAGTTAACGCTAATAGCATATTTAAATATGAATAAAATTGAATAATATTGGTGAGTATTATTGGCAATGATAAATGGTTTCTTTCTAGCTTTGAATGATGCTCTCATGTTAGGGTGGAAAGAGAGGCTACGTAAAACATCCTTATTTATGAAAGAAGATATATACTTATATATCTTTGAACTTTGAGAATATGATTTTCAATTTGAGAACGATCCAATATTCATTTCAATTTGGTTTTTGAGATAAGTAAGCCGGTGAAAATTTCGGGGTTTAACCCCCAACCCCCAACCCCCCCCCCCTCCTTCAAATAACTGGTGTCACTAATTTTCAGTATTTGCAACAAATCAATAAAATAATGCATTTTAAATGTCACAATTGTATTATATATAATTTAAAACATTCGACCTTTTAAATTAATTAATTTAATTACGAATTCCCAATTACAAACAATAGATGAAAAAGGTTGGTCGAATTCCAATTTCATGACGGTTGGTAGGGGGTTGCTTTAACAACCAAGTGCTTCACACTCGACCACATCAAGTTGTTCTGCTCTGAAATGGAACAGAGTAGATCGAGAAAGCTAACATTTGAATTCACGGAATTAAAACATTATTTAAAAATTAGTAATCAGTTTCATTTTCCTCCAAGAAGTCAAATTCTGACTTGAGTTAATAACATTCTAATCAGAATACTAGCCCAAAATAGCTTAATCATTCGTTCGATTCTTCAGGGATAAAAATACCTTTTTTTAATAATATGAACAGCATGATAGTAACAAGATAGGTGAGCATTTAAGTCACATGCATTCGTAATTTTAAAGCAGCATGATACTCTATTGCAGGTCCTGAGAACCTATATATCATTTATTTAAGAAGCTGGCGCGTTCAAAGTGTTTTAAATCCTAGTTAGAATTAAAAATTCCCACTACTAAAGATTTGTAGGTAGGGGTTAAAAGAACTTAGTTTCTTCCATTGTAACGACCAATCAGAAGGGCAGTGACGTCATAGTTTTGAACATTCTATTTAAATAAATATGCATCTTTATTATCATCATCTGCAGACGTCTCCTCCTTTTCAGTCTTTAGAACTCTCCTTTTACACGCAGGAGGCAATGAGCGTTCAATAACGCGCCGTCCTCGATGATATTTCGGGGGTTCCAAAGACCGCTCAAATGCCTTCTTTCGTCTGATCTCATTGGTCCTTTCCTCGATAGCCCTTCGATGCTCTCTAGCCACGGCCCTATTGTACTCATCCACAACCTTTTTGGCCTTCAGAACAGCCATTCGGTCGTATTTCAACTGCCTTTTATCAAGATCATCCATGGTTGATTCAAGATTTTTTAGCATCACTATTATACCTAACTTTGTTGACTTTTCCTTTCTGAACACTTTGCAGTAAATTTTATTTATCTGCTTTTGAAGAACATCCAATAATTGTTCAATAGTTGATTTGTCAACAACTTTGTCTAATTTTCTATTAGCTTTGTCGTCTTTCAACCACGGGGGATCAAATTGATCAAGGCTTCCAAGGGCAAAAGCCTCATATCTTTTTAATTGAGAGAAGGTTTTAATCTGACTTCTTGCAGACTCGATCTCAGCTGCACTTTTTAGAAGATCGGCATTTATATTTTCTTGGCGCGAGATATATTCATCCCATGTCGACTTTTGAGCATCAAGAAGTTTTTCCACTTTCTTAATCTTGAAACGTAGTAGTTCCAGTACCTCATCTTGTTCCTGAATACTCTCAATAAGAGTCAAATTATCCGACTCAAGCTCCGTTAACAAATCAATAAAATCTAGGGGAGTTTCAAAGATGTCACTTATGACTTCAGAATTTTGAGTTTTTCCAACCTCCTGTTCCTCTCTTTCCTTCTTTTCCTCAGATATTAGTGAGAGTTTCAAAGCTGCCATTCGAGTCGATTCTCGCTTTGCTTCAACGTCCTTGGCAACGCTATCCAGAAAATCTTTATACGTTTTTAGCCTCTTATACTCGTCTTCAAGTTTTATGTATTCAGCTTCCATAGCATTAATCCTATGCGTAAATCTTTTTAGCATGTCCTTTCGGTGAACACGCTTTGAATTCGCTTCCTCAGCTCTTTTGATAGATTCGGTTGTACGGAGAGTTAATTCCTGAATAAATCTGTCATGATCCTCACGTTGGGAGATCAACTCGCCCTCAGCTAGGGCAAGATAGTTGGTTTCCTCTTGGCTCCTGTTATTTAACCTGGCGATTACTTGTTCATTTAATCGAGTTGAAAGATTCATTAGACAGATATTTTTCCTATCCTCAATAAAAGATCTTGTTTTGCTAAAGTTATCATGATATATATCCGCCACCCAAACACTTATTTTATTCCCAGAAACGGTTTGAAATGAAGATCGATTAAATAAAGGCGCACCCTTCTCAGAGAAACTGTCTGAATATGAGGAAGTTGAAGAAACTGACCCCGTACCCTTGCTCATTAAACTTTCATCTGATGACTTTTCATCATTTTTGCTTCCAGATTCTATGGATTCTGGGATTTCAAATTTAATACTCTTCTCTTTCTGGAAGAGTGGGACGTTATGCTTATTCTTAGGTTGAAAGGTTAGACGTTGAGGACCAAAGAGTCTTCCGTGGGTATAGATTTCACTGATATTTTCATGGTGGACAAATTCTTTTAGTTCATTGACTGCTGTGAACGGTTGTCGATAATTCTTTGGGATCTTCTTAAAAGCACTTCCCATTTGAGTATATCGAGCCCGTTCCGCAATCTTTTTTTCATTCGCTTGCCGTTTAAGTTCTTTAGTTGGGTCATTTTTGGCTAACTTGAAAATATTAAACTTTGGACAATCTTCGAGCATGTATTTTGGCGCCAGTCTTTTATCTAGCAGTAACCTACTACTCGATGATTTTGGAGCCTCCAATTTGTTCAAATAATGCAAAAAGGAAGCTCGAGTTGGATAATTAATTGAAATTTTCTGTCCTGAGTCATGCGGACTGATCAAGACTGGAGGAGGAGACGACCATAAACTTATTTTTTTCATTGAACGACCCAACTTCCTTGTCAAAGATGCACGCGATAACACGTGTTAAACATGCGCTTTTGTCAAGGTCGTAGAATAATAAATTTGCTGATAATTTCAGCCTGAAATTTGTGTTTACACAAATGCCACTAAAGTTTACATATCACCTTTCATCCAATGTTTAATTGATAAAGCAAGTGAAGCTTTATTAATTTTGTTAAAATTAATTTGACAGTCGTCCAATTGCAACACAATTTATTAAATCCAAAACATTATATAATTTCAGTAAATCTTTGGCTGTTTTAAGATTTTTTAATATAGGCTATAGGTTAAATATTTTTACATTTAAATTATTATCATTTAACGAGTATATTTGACACGCTGCTATTAATAGTTCAATTATTAACGATTTTTTAGAAGAAAAATCATAGGTCCTTGACCTTGAAGGAAATAAATAAGAATTTCGGAAACAAAAATCGTCACATAGTGCCATACATTTGGAAAATAAGCTGTTTTTAACCTCATTCACACCAAGTTTTAACTATCGTGACAAATTGCTTATCAACTTATCCCTGCTTAACTCATGCCCATTTAAAGACAATATCGATATTCTACAGCTCTTTAAGTAGTCCGCATTGAAATCGATATTGAAAGTAATATTTATTGCAACTTACTGATGACTAGAATTCGTGATTTTCTTTACTAATTCGGATCTATGCGACACATTCAAGTAAGGCACTTTGCTGAAAATAGGGGTATACTCCACTTTCTGCGTCCCATTCCAAAGCTAAATCGCTGTAGCTACCTGAAATATTATAAAACCACTTTTCATAAAACCTACATATATTTATCATTTTGAGCTTTCTATTTAAATTACTGAAAGAACACGGCTTAATATATTAATGTGAAAAGCAAAGCGCTTCTGTAATTAGTGACCACAGTACTCAAAACTCATAGAAACAAATTCGTCTTTGTCAAGGCGTAGCATATAATTGAGCGTATAATTAGCGTTAAAAAAACTCTTTCAAGTTTGAAGAATAAAGCAGGAATTATTGATGAATTTTCAATCGTTTTATAACACTTTACCTATTGGTGCCATTGATTTGTTTCCTACCAATACATAAACTTGGCTGTGGGTAAAGGTTATTAAAAGTTTATTAAGTTTGCATGGAGGCGTATGAAAGGAATGTGTTCATCTGGTATTTTGGAGGTCAAGAACAAATAAAGTGAGTGAGAAAATTGGAGTCTATCACAATGAAGGTGCTATGAAGATACCCTCTAATTGAGATGATTATTGAAAATTGATTGGCAGAGAGAACTTTCGACTTGTTATTGCCATTATAGGTTCAGTTTATAATTTCAAAAATTTTAAGTGCTGAATTACCTTTATTTGATTCTTGCATTACTGGGTGAAATCATGTGCAATATACTCATAACTTCTTGGTATGTAAATTGTGATGTAGTTTAGTCATACTACTTCAACTTCTTCGTGCCTATGAATGGTTAGTTGAGACAAATATGGTATGCTCTCTAAACACCAAAGATCTTACGACAATCTTTCGACTTAAGTACTCCGAGGTACAATGAGAAGATAGTTGTTATCGTTGTCTTCAAACCTATTTTTAAACTGTTTATGCCATGCATTATGTTAGTGCCGGAAGCACATTCAAGTTATGGTAATATTTCAAGTCTGACTTGCCGACTGAAGCGTTACTCCACCCCATTGCATCAACAAAAATGTCTTACTAAAAATAAGAGTAAATAAATAATTGGGCGTTTTCGTCAAAATAAACTGATATCTTTAAGGCAAACTTAAAAAGTGCAAAATCTGCAGATTCGAGTTTTTCTGTTCATTCACGTCTTCAAGCACTTAGCCTGTATGTGCTGTAGGGATGTGATTCAAAGTATTTGACAAAGAAGTTGAGTACGAGATCGATTCTCACCGACGCCCATTCAGCACTGATTCATTCTCATTAAAATGAAAGTGACTGAGGATTTCTCATACCCCGGGACTCAACTCATGTCAAATGTTGTTAACGCCCTCCTTCTTCGGCTTTGGAAGTTTGATCAATCATTCACTTCAACGATAGTCAGTGAACTTTTAACCAAATCAGGAAATTTTCCCACGAAAGCCACACATCTTTTAGGTGTTGGAGAAATAACATTTAAAATAATTAATTTATTACAAACGGCAGGCGCTTTGGTAGTTAGCATTAGACCTTTAGCTGATTTCGGACTTCACAGAAGGGAGGAACATCAAAGTGAGAAAAATTCGAGAGGGGGATGGACACAAACGCAGAGTGAAGGTGGAAGTGGTCGAATATGTTATACAGTGGGGGGAAGGGGTGGTAGTTTGAAGTCCGAAGTCAACTGCCGAATAATGGACTTTTTTGCCGTATGAGTATACATTGCCCAGGGTGCACCACGTGGAGGTAAGTCTATCGCACACAACGAAAAAATAACGTTTATTCACATGAATTAATGAATATTTCGCTCTATTGACGAATAAATAATAAGGCATGAAATTTGAGACATATTCACTTATCTTTGAGATCATTCCAACTCATTTACTAAGCGACAAAGAGTTTACGTTCTTAAAGCTACCAAATAGCAATCAACCAACTTTCTGGAGCAGAATTGAATTTTAAGCTTTTTTCCTTGTCACTTGTCACGCATGCTGAAAGTGGTTAACAAACCCAAATCCCAATGTTTAAGGCGTTCACCAGCCTAAAATTATTGGTTTCCATGGTATTGTCACGTTTATCCCCAATATTCCGCATTAATTCGTGGAGATTTTGTGGAGAAAGCCGTATGGATCTGGACATTTGCACACCGCATAGTTGGTCCAAAGAGTCATTACTTCTGATCACACTTCACGAAAAGTATCTCATCGCCTTCATCTTGGTTGTCTGGGCTTGTCTTGTCGCTGCTCTGATAATAGCCAAGGCTTTCAGAAGAAGCTATTTCCACGAGAATGTAAGCATAATTTTCATTTTTGGTGAATAGTCATTTACAGCATTTATCAATATCCTAATTTTTGTTAGAAGAGAATAAGAGATGAAATTTGTTCATATTGTTAACTTATCGCCGCTTTATTTATGTTCAAACAATTTTCGATACGCATTAGTCAGCCTCTCCTAGTTAATTAAGTAACAATATAAGTAGACAAAAGAATTGTTCATGAGACAAATAACCTTCAGTCAAATAGAAGCATATGCCAACTTGGAATTAATTTAATTGATGACGCATCATATTAATAGCTTTTTCCGTTACAAGTAATTTTAAAGACCTTAAATTCTCACTATTCAACGTCAAAACGCGTGTAGCTAAAGATGAAATAAAAACACATTCGTCTTTATTTATTACGATTTTCAATTAAAACCATGGAAATATTAAAACTCACATTAACTAATACCTGTTTTAATTATACCATGCAGATTTAAGGTAAAAATTTCTAATTCAGGAAAATATTTCCTGAATTAAATTTTTTTATAAATTTTCCACTTCACAATTTTTGATTTAGAATTAGCTAATTTCTCAAGCACAAATCCTGTTTTAAAGAGAGAATAATTTTACGGAGAGCGAATTAAATAGAATGTCTACATGTGAAATGGTCTATTTTAGTTACTGTAACGTGTTTCATTTCATTAATAAATATTTATTAAATGCTTCAATAATTGCGAAAAAATATAATTAATATTCACAGGCAATTCCCCGGTTGAGGTCTTTCTAAACAATATCATTATGATATGGGGATATCCTTTGTCGTTTTGACAAAATGTTGAAGCAGAATTCTTTCCAAAAAAGTATAAGTAATATTCCAAAATTTAAATCATGAAAAATCCCTTTAATACTCAGGATAATATTAGCGGTTTTGTATTAATAATCTTCCTGGTTTGAGTCATTTGAAGTTATTCATTTGTTTGCAACTTAACTAACAAACTTCCTCAGTTATTCTTTCACAATTACTTATTTCGCAAATCGTGTTAAATTTGATCTAAAATAGTTGAAAGCTTAAACATGGCATTAATTAGTTTTACTAAATTAGTTCGATAAATTCACTGGAATTCACTGCTTATTGAATTTTCTGCTTCCGTGAATCAAAGCATCTTAGTTCAACGAAGGTTACTGGGGGAAATAAAGGATTTCGCTCCAGTCCTGTTGGCCTAGATACCAAAGGTCAACACATCTATTGATTTAGAGTGGAGGCAGGATATCTAGTGTATTTGACTGAAACTCAGTCGATTCATATTATTGATATCTAACCAAACCCACTTTATCATATAATCGTCTGACATTTCATTCATTGTCGAAATTTAATTTCACAATAAGTTTTTGATTTAAACTAATCATATATAAGCACCTATAATCGAGCTATTTATTCAGTAGGCCTAAATTATAAATGGCAAAACCCCCTAGACAGTAAATAGGAGTATTTGCGGCAGTTAACCAAAACTAACCGCACCACTGGTTGGGATGTTATTTCATGATCTCTCTACATGGAAGATCTTTAATCCACCATTGTTTTTTTAATTCTTTGCTGTAGAATAATTTTGAAGAAACTTATCGTGATGGTGGAAGAAGAACTTCCGGTTTGATAATCACCTATTTTGTGGTTAAACTGGCATGCACTAACGCCCTCTTCGAAGCCAGCGATGCCGTATACCAAGTGAGTGCTACTTAATACGATTTCAGTAGACCGAGCATTTAAATATATTTGCATGTCTTCATATTGCAGGAATCATTTTTAATCATATTTAGGCTGCACAGTAAAATGACATTAATAACGAAAATAAGAATCCCACATTAGATCCAATTATGAAGTTTAGCAATCACTCTTAGCTACCTCCTCAAAAGCAGTTGCATCACAGTAGTTGCGGACGTTTTTGAGTAAAATGAAAGATCTTGCTCCAATCAATATTATTTGGTTTAAGGAAATGCATTTGAGCACAAACCAGCCGACAAATCTACAGGAAGAACGATAAAATTTGGTCATTGACATGCTACTCCCAAAACTTAAA